GCCTCTCTTTATAACTCAAACTCTTCCATCTTGGTCACATCTACAGTGTATTTTTAAAAATTCCTTCCTCCAGTCCTCTGGGACCTCTCCTGTGACTAAAAAGGATACAAAGATTTTGTACCAGGCCTCGGCAATTTCCTTCCTTGCCGCCCTCAGTAATCTGGGATAGTTCCCATCAGGTCCTGGGGACTTGCTTACCTTAATGCTCTTCAAAACACCCAACATCTTTTTATATTGTCATGCCATAGGATGTCAACGTACCCCTCCCAAGACTCACCATCCACATGTCCTTTTCCTTTGTGAATACCAATGCAAAGTATTTGTTAAGAACACCACCCATATCCTCCGGCTCAATGCATAAACTCCCTGCTTTGTGCTTGAATGGACCTATCCTTTCCCTAACTACTCTTTTGCTCTTATATATGTATTAAAAAGTCTTGGGATTTTCCTTAATCCTGTTTGCCAAGGTCATTTCATGGTCCCTTTTAGCCCTCCTAACTCCAACTTTAAGTTGTTCCTGCTTTCTTTATATTCCTCGACCATCCTGTACCTGCAGTTTCCTAAACCTTACATGCACTTCTTTTTTCATTCTGACTAAGCTTATAATTTCTCTCGCCATCCAAGGTTCCCAAATCTTGCCATCTTTATTCTTCACTTTCACAGGAAGATGCTGGTCCTGAACTCTAATCAACTGGCCTTTAAAAGATTCTCACATGTCAGATGTAGATTTACATTCAAGCAGCAGCCAAAAATCTACATTGCCCAGTTCCTGCCTAATTTTGTCATAGTTAGATTTCCCCGATTTCATTCTTTCACCTGAGGGCTGTTCTTATCCTTATCCAAAAGTAACTTAAAACTTATGGAATTATGGTCACTGCTCCCAAAATGCTCCCCCATCAAAGAAAGCTTTGATCGCCTGGCCAGGCTCATTGCCCAATACCAGCTCCAATGTGGCCTCCTCCCTTGTTGGACTATTTACGTTTTGCTTCAAGAAGCTCTCCTGGACACACCTAACATATTCTACACCCCCACCTCTACTGGTCTATCCCTTACCTTAGCATGACAATACATTTCACTTAGCTCAACCTGCATGCCTACATAGTTACCCTTATTTAAGTTTAAGGTACTAGCCTTGGAACTGGGCTTTCCCACTCACACAAAATAAAGTTCAGTCATATAGTGATTGCTGCAACCTGGGTGTGCCTTTGAGGTATTTATTTAATCTTGTTACACTGCACAATGTCAATTTGAATATAATCTCTGGTTGATTCTGGATAGCATGCAAAACAATACTTGTGGTACATGTGACAATAATAAATCAAATCAAATCAAATTTCAGAACGTGCTGTTCGAAGAAAATATCTTGAAAGCATTCCATGAACTTCTCACTAAGCCTATTTTTCCAGTAGATTAAAGCAACTTTTGATTATTTCTATCCTTTTCTCACAAGTACTCAATATTGCTTCTTGAAAGTTTCTTTTTGCATGACAGTTACCTACAGGGGACCTGTAGCACTCCCACTAGTGACCTCTTTCATTTTCCACTCTTCAATTCCACCCAAAATGATTTCTACATCCTGATTTACTGAACCAAGGTCATTTCCAACTGTTCGCGAATGCTATTCTTGATTAACTCCACTTTTTCCTCGCTCCCTGTTCTTCTTGAATGCCCTATATTTCTTAAATGTTCAGGAGCGAATCCTTGACAACCTGCAGCCACATCTGTGAATGCTATCAGGTCATACTTATTTACATCAGAGTGTATCAGCAACTTGTTTAATCTGTTATTCAGTTCCAGGGTTTCGTATTTTGTAGTACCTAGTCTTGTTGGTTGGCATATTTTTAATTTTATTTTCCATTCCTTCCGGCCGTTGTCTGACTCACTTTTATTATGTTCCTCTCTCCCATTGTCTCTACTCTTTGATATATCGCATCCTTCCACATTTGATCCCTTGCCCCACTATTTAGTTTCAAACCTTCTTTATTTCCCGAGTTATGCAGTTTGCAAGAATACTGGTACCAGCACAGTTGAGGTATATGCCATCCGAACAGTATAGACCCCACTTTCCCCAGTTCAGAGACCCCAGTTGCCTAATAGCAATGTGAATACAAAATTGGCTGAGCGATAGGAAATAGAGTAATGGTCAATTGATAACTTTCCTCCAGCTCAAAAACTTATTTTCATGTTCCCCATGGTTCAGTATTGGGACCCTTACATTTTATGATTTTTATTGATCTGGATCTTGGTATGCAAGGGACAATTGCAAAGTTTGTAAATTACACAAAACTTGGAAGAATTGTAAACTGAGAGTGTGGCACTCTAAAAGGCCATTGACAAATTTGTGGAGTGAGCAGATAGATGGCAGATGCGGTTCAATACAGAAGTGTGAAGTGATGCACTTTGGTGAAAAGAACTTTGAAAGACTATAAAATAGGGGGTACAATTCTAAAGGTGATGCATGAGAGACCTGAGTCTGTATGTGCACAGATCATTGAAGGTGGTAGGACAAGTGGAGAAAGCAGTTAATAAAGCATACTCATGCTTACTTAAATCCATATAAATGGAAAAATCCGACTTTGAAAGATAGGACCGGCTGTTCCCTTTGGAATGGAGAGGCCAAGGAGAAATGTAATTGAAGTGTAACCTACAGCATGATAGAGCAAGATCTGGCAACTAGTATAGGCTGGACAATTATTTTTTGGTTAGCACAGATATGATAGATTATTTGTGGCCTTCTGCTCCACAAATCTTTCACATTTCTATGTGTACAACGTATGTTAACAAATGATTTATTTCTGGTTACCCCCTCCCTGGCAATAATACTAAGTACATGAAGTAATTGATAATTTTCTTCTCAGTTGTTTAAAAAGATCTGGGGTCCTGTGCCTGACTCAGATATTTCACCATAAACTATTGATAATTTAATTGCTCATTCTGTTTCGTTGTGCTCCATCTGGTGGCCTGCCTGAGAAATTGCAAAATTCATTAAATTACAATAAGTGAATTTTACACGATAAGTGAGTTTTAATGTTATATTGAAACAGAATTTCAAGTTGCTGAATGTATTTTTTGAAAAGGAGTTATAGCACTATATACATGTATACCACAATACCTTTGCCATTGCAAATGGGAGGAGGTAACGTTTTCACTCCTGTAAACATGAGCAGAATTTTCCCATTTTTTGTTGGAAGTTGTGTTTTTGTTTTGTTTTGGGTGGTGACCAACATGCCAGTCCCACTGCTGACAAAACACCCAGTTGCCACCTGTGACAGGTGAGCATTAGAGTTTCCCAGTAAATCACAGACCCTGACATTGGTAACACGGGTTGGCAAAAAGTGCCAGCCAGTCAGAGGCCAGCAACATCTCGATGCTAACGTTTGCCGATCCAGGCAAAACCTTGGGGAATCCAGCAGTGAGCAGGCTAATAGTTTTAATTCTTTTCTCTTCTCTTGGGTGGGCATCATGGGGTGAGATGGGTCAGGGGTCAGGCCACCCCTTGTCGCTCATCCATGCCCCTGATTGACAATAGATTGGCACAATTCGAGGATCTACCAACCTGGCAGGCAGGTGACTCCGGTTTTCTGGTCAAGAAGCATATTTTTTCAGCTTTGTAGTTACAGCACATCAATGAGGCAAGGAAAAGCCTTAAGGAAGTGTAAGTTCAATAATAGTGGAGGTATGCATTCCATTGAATGCCCTTTTTCATTTTTTGTTGGGCAATCAGTCTGCTTCCCAAGATTAAGAAGAACCCTATCACCACTCATGTTTATTTGAATCTTGATATATTACCCTGCATCCCAACTCTTAATCACGCATTCATTAAATCTTGCTTCTCAACCCCACCACTCACCCTCATTCTGATTAGAAGATTACTGTCTTGGAGCAAGGTAACGGTATGCATCTCCTGTTTAACCCCTCCAACCTGACTCTCTGCACCAAGTCCATTGCATCTCTATATATCCATATAAACAATCTATCCATCTTCAACCCTAAACTACTTAGCTACAGTCCTGTTCTCAATCCTTTCATGCTTCCCTCCTTGCTTCAGCCTCTTGAGCCCTTGGCTTCACTGGGATAGATTAAGTGTTTCAATTCCTAACCATCTCCTCCATCCCCACTTCTGCTAACAAGCTTAGTGACCTTCAGACACTCCTCTGAAGAAATTGAACAAGTTTTAACACTGTACACTCCCAAGAGCAACATTTTCCTACTCCTCCCTAGCACTGAAGAGAACTTTAACTTTCTTCCTCCATTTTGTATCAATCTAACTCATCCATTGGTTGCCAATCTCATTCTTCTGCTCTGAGTGCAGCTGCCTCTTACTGCTTACCCCAGATCTGCATTTCTTACCCACAGTAGTCCTGCCTCTCACTGGCTATATTTATTTGCCCCTGAAAGACTTATTGTTCTAAGGTTCATCCTACCCTCATTAGTTGAATGTCATCTCCCACATCACTCACTGCAAGAAATCAAAACTATATATATTTTTAAAATTGCACTTCTTTTAAATACAAATTTGCACAAAGTGGAGAAAAGCTCCAATGCAACTGTAAAAATTCAAACAATGTAAGATGACTTTATAGTAGTTTGAGCTTGCAAAGGCTCACAAATAAGATTGAGACCAGTATCCTGGGTTATACTTTCTTTTTAGAACACTGAAAACCCAATATGCTATTATTGTAGCATTACTGCATACTCGAGTGTTGTCTCTTAATAAGTACTAATACTAGAGTCCTTACATAAAAAAACTTCTTTAGAATAACAATTAAATCAATAGTTTGACCTCTTTCCTGTAAATTAGTTCATGTATTTTCACTGAATATGTTTCTTTTTCGAGAGAACAATTCCCTTTCTGAATTGAAAGAAGAGAATATTTTTATTTAGCATCATATTGATTATTATAAGAATAAAATTTTAAAGATATAAATAAAATTTTGCAGCATTTTTCTAATGTACATAAATTGTAGTACTCAGTATGATAGTTTTTTTTTCCCTGAAAGGTGTCGATGGATCATTTCTAGCCATTATACCCAGTATAACGGGTCACCCAACATCGATTGCAACTAATGAACTCCATGTTGTCGACAGTCTAAACTCTCCTTTACCTGACACCAATGAAAGGTAAAGATCCAGATCACTGTGCATATCCCTGAAGTCTTTTTATGAATTATGTAATGTCTGACAAATAAATTGCGATTCTACTTTTTTAAGCAGTATGAAGCATTTACGATAATAAATAAATTAACTATATACTAAATCTGGCATCTCAGTGTCCGTAATATTTTTATTTAAACATTGCTGGATGGAGTAAAGAAGTCACAACTTTTTTTCTTGTGCTCTTCAGGACTGGGACACAAGCGATTAATTTTGGAAAGGCAATAGCAATTTTTACAGCATGAGAAGAGGATACTTATTGATTGGATTGGATCGGATCATGAAAATGCAGTAGAAATTGTTAGCGGCCAATCTTAGTTAGCGTAGTTAAACTCAGATCAGATGGGTAGACACTAATTGGTCAGGGTGTTGCTATGGGAACTGTAACATGGTTGGCACCTTCCATAAGCTTCTCGTTAATGAGAAAGCTGAAATGTATGAACCAGTTTATTTTTCCCGCAAAGAATAGGGTCCCATACATGTCCCATGTATGGTTTCCTGTGTGCTAATTGTTACCCAGTTCAGACGACCAATTGCTGTATATCGCACAAACTCATGTAAGGGCATATGGCTGCCACGTTTGGCCTCGAACAGTGTCTATTCAGTCTCAAATTACCCTGGAAGGAGAAGTTGTCTCAATAATTTGATTAACCTATGAAGGTAGCCATCTTATGCTGCTACTTTGCAGTAAACTCACGAATGGTATTTTTTACTAAGCAAATGCTGCAGTCAAGCCAAAAAGATGTTTTGTGTACCGTACAAATGAGTAATGTGGTGTGGGTTTTAGTGCCAGTGGGATGCCAGGTGTGCAGTCCATTCATCTCAGTAACTAGCAGACCTTACTTAACAAATACGCATGTTTAACCATTCATAGCAGACTGTGTACTGATTGGATTCAACCAACCCATGCTTGCAAACCTCAAACACAATGTCCAACATTCAGTGTGATTCTGATATTAGATGATGTTTACAGAATTCTGACTGCTGAGAATTACGTCGGCAATCAAGTTCAGATTATCAGCGTATCACAGTGTGATTCAATAAAGCCTACTAGAAGCTGCATATATTCACACACAGCAGTCTGTTCCCTTTAGGCAAAAGGAATTTGCGTATACATTATACCTTTCTTATTAAGTACAGGATTATGAAGACTTTTAACTCCTGCTGCAGTACCCTGACCAGTCAAAGTCTGCCTGCCTGCTCAGAGTTGAATCAGCTAACAAAGATTGGTAGTTCCTGCTGTATCTCCATGCCAATCATGGTCCAAACAATCAATACCTTCTTCTCATGCTGTATAAACTATTGCTCCCTTTCTAAATTTGGTTTCTTGTGTTTTAGTCCTAACGTGTATAAGATGCAACATCTGTACTACCAAACAATTATATTTTTATTTATTTGTTCATGGGATGATAGCATTGCTGGCAAAGTCAGCATTCATTGACTGTCCTTGATGCTGTTTAGAATGTGAAATTGAGCTTTTTTTTTTGAAAACCACCTGATGTAGGTGCAATAACAATGATGATGATAGGAGGAATTTTAAGGAACTTGAACCAGCCACAGTGAGGGAACGTGATGATAATGTGCCAAGTCCACATACCATGTGTTTATTTTTATTGGGGAGGTGGGGGTGGCAGTCCTAAATAAACAATGATACAAAGAGCAATGTTCTTGGTCAAACTTTATTTAGCTACTACATTCTTTATCTTCACTCCATCATGAGGTCAGAATTCGGGATGCTTGATTGCACAGTGTTGATTTCATTTTCAACTCATAGGTACAGACTGCTTCAGTGTCTAGCATAGAGCAAAATATAGACAATATTCAGGCTTGAAAGAATGAATCAAAAGTAACATTTGTTGTCACACAGATGGCAGGCAGTGACTATCTCCATCAAGAGAGACTCTGATCACCTTCCACTGACATTCAATACTATTAGCATCATCACCCCAAAATCAACATCCTGGAAGTCACCACTAGCCAGTAACATAATGGGACCACAAATAGGCACACTATCATTCATAGGGCAGGTCAGAAGATGGATGTTCTTTGGAATTGCTCACTTCCTAATTCCCCAGAGCCTTTCCACCATCTCAAATGCACGAGTCAGAAAGCCCTCATTTCCTGGATGAACAGTTTGAACAACATAAAGCACAAACATCATCCGTAATAAAGCAGCTTGTATGTATGACACCCCATTCATCAAGAGAATAGTGGTATTATTGCTAGATTGTTACTCCAGAGACTCAGGTAATATTCTGGAGATCCTGGTTTGAATCCCACCGTGGCAGATAGTGGAGTTTGAATTCGTTAAAAATCTGGAATTAAAGGCCTAATGATGACTAAGAATCCATTGTCGACTGTCACAAAAACCTAGCTGGCGCACTGACGTCCTTTATGGAAGGAAACTGTCATCCTTACTTGGTTTGGCCAACATGTGACCCTAGACCACAGCAATATGGGCAATAAGAGGTTGTCAATCAATGCTGGCCTAGCCAGCAACACCCTCGTCCCATGAATGAATTTTAAAAAAAGAACACTACTATCTCTCTTTAAATCACACACCGTCCTAATTTCTAAATATATTGATGGTCTTTCATTGTTGCTGGGCGAAAATGCAGGATTTATTTTCTACCGTAATCACACACAGGGCCATTTAAAAAAGTGGGTGTCCAGCTCCTTCTCTGGGACAATAAATTCTGGCATTGCTACTGACCTCTACATCTCCTGAATGAGCCTATATTATTGGAAGCAGTTTTCTTGTTTATTAGCTGTAATTCTTGTAGTATGGCTGAAATATCTGAGCAAGTGAGCCAGATGTGCACAAAAATTGACCTTTTTCCTTCCCCCAAGAGCCCCTTGAATAGGAGTTAGCTTAGCACACTCAAGATAATTGAGTAAAAGTTTTTTCCAGTTGCAGACTCATGCCTAATTTTGGATGCTATTTAGGGTTTGAAATTTTATAATTACATTGGCAATCATAAATTGGTTGTCAGTGGGGCTCATAATGTGGCAAACGTGGACACACTGGAAGATACGTACATTAATACGTGTGTACACTCACTACACTTGTTTAATTGAATAAAATAGGCGATAACCATTTTCTTAATCATTCCTGAGGGCAATGCCTTGATCAAGCAGTGTCAACTTGCTTGGTTTAAATTTAAACAAAGTTAGGCAGTTAACTGTCAGTCATCATTTAACTGATGCATTGTTCTCAGTTCCTGGGAAAGTTAGAACCAGGGGTGGCAGACTAGTCTGCAGATTACTGGTACCAGTTATGTTACTGTGCCATCTCAATCAGGCATGACTCAAGATCGGAAACTTCAGAATGTTATTATGATAGAATGCACTGAAAACCCTTAATATCACCAACAGACCTGTTCAACAGTATCGGTCTTTTTTATGCCGGTGTCCATTTGATTTTGATTTTATTCTTCAGTTCAGTTCTTCTGTACAATATTACTTAACGTAATAAATTTGGTCCAGTGTTTCTTAATACTCTGCTTCATAGGTATCTGTAGTTTCAGTGACCTAAATTTTTACTTCCTTCAAGTGCTCTGTTTCAAATCCACAATTGATAATGAAATTAACATCTTTCCAATTATTTTCTGAATTCAACTAACATTTTGTACAATTTGAGCACAATTTTGCATTGTAAAAGAAAAAAAAAGGAAGATAAATCCTTGATATATTACTTTTTGGCAAATATATTTCTGTTTTGAAAGCAGTAAACATCTTGTATCACTTGGCTTTTTCTTTCTATGTATATCCAGATCTGAAAATACTCCAATAGACCATCCTGTATCTTGTGAATCTTCAACAAATCAAAGGTTTGAAGAACTGATTGAGCAATCAGATGACCATTTTGAAATTGGTAAGCTAAATCTAGAGCTGCAAAAATATTAAATGTTCTCATTATTGGTAAAGATAAAATGAAAAATCCAAAGTATGAATTTAAAAACTGAAAATGCAGATCTGATAAGTAGGCATTTTAAAGTCAAAAAATGATATTTCAGATTGAGACGCTTCAACAGAATTGAAATAAAAAGGCAAATATGTCATTGGGCTAATTACAGAAAGTTGGAGGGAAGAAAAGGACCAATTAGAATTCAAGCAACTTGATACTTTTAAACCAAGAACTAGTTAATGCATATAATTGCCTGCAACTAGATTTTTAAAATGGTTGAAACATGGAGGAAACTGCTGACCATTACACAAAGATCTTCAGTCAGTTTGTGAAAGAGAAAGGCAGACAATTAGCTAAATGTGCAAGGAATCACACTGTGAGTGTTAGAAAGTAGTAGTAGGGGTCTTGTAGTGCAGTGGTAGAGTCCCTGCTGAGTCAGGAGACCCAGGTTCAAGTCTCACATGCTCCAGAGGTTTGTAATGACGTCTCTGAACAAGTTGATTAGAAGTATCTAGGAAGTAGTAGGGAAATCACGAGGCAGATAAAGGCTGAGCTTTTCCTATCTGTAGAACACAATAATAAGTATGAAATAGTCTTATTAATGGAGATTAATTACTATGTTCAGCAGTAAGAAAGCCAAGGATGCAAAAGTCAAAATAAGAATATGGTACAAGGAGTAGATATACATTAAATTTCAAATTTTATATCTAGTGTTTGCTGATTTATTTGCAACTTTTCACTTATTAAATCTAAATGTACAAATCATTATATTGTAGTTTGTTCTGTGAAAAGAATAATAAACTGGGGCTGTTGAGTCATGCGTTGGGCATAGATAAAGAAAATATTTCAAATATTTTTTCTATTCTTTTAAAAAGTATTCCTTTTCCTACATGAAGCTCTGGAGGTACAGAATGTCTGTGAGGCTAAGATTGAACCTTGTAACCCCTTAATAATCTCAGCTCGGAACTGAAGCTACGGGAATAACCGCATTGTAGATATATAATGGTGAAGGAATAATAAATTCAAACCTAAATGTGCCACTGTTAAAACTGCAGACATTTGAGCGCATTAAAAGGGTAATACTGTGAAGATAAATATTCAGAGATATTTCATAGAACAGTACAGCACAGTACAGGCCCTTCGGCCCACAATGTTGTGCCGAACTTTTACCCTAATTCTAAGGTCTATCTAACCTCCACCCCTACCTTATACTATCATCCATATGCCTATCTAATAGCCGCTTAAATGCCCCTAATGAGGCTGACTCCACTACCCTCTCCGGCAATGTATTCCACGCCCCTACCACTCTCTGAGTAAAGAACCTACCTCTGACATCTCCCTTATATCTACCTCCACTCACTTTAAAACTATGCCCCTCATGATTGCTACCTCCACCCTAGGAAAAAGTCTCTGGCTGTCTACACTATCTATACCTCTGATCATTTTGTACACCTCTATCAACGTCACCTCTCATCCTTCGTCGATCTAAAGAGAAAAGCCCTAGCTCTCTCAACCTTTCCTCATAAGATCTTCCCTCTATTCCAGGCAACATCCTGGTAAATCTCTTCTGCATCTTTTCCAACACTTCCACATCTTTCCTGTAATGAGGCGATCAGAACTGGACACAATACTCCAGATGTGGCCGAACCAGGCTTTTGTATAGCTACAGCATAACTTCACGGCTCTTGAACTCTATCCCTCTATTAATGAAAGCTAACACACTATACGCCTTCTTAACAACTCTATCCACCTGGGTGGCAGCTTTCAGGGAACTGTGCACATAAACCCCAAGATCCCTCTGCTCCTCCACACTGCCAAGAATCTTTCCATTAACCCTGTATTCTGCTTTCAAGTTTGTCCTTCCAAAATGAATCACCTCACACTTTTCAGGGTTAAACTCCATCTGCCACTTCTCAGCCCAGCTCTGCATCCTATCAATGTCCCTTTGTAACCTAGAACAGCCCTCTGCACTGTCCACAACTCGACCCACCTTCGTATTGTCCGTGAGTTTACTAATCCACCCTTCCACTCCTTTATCCAAATCATTTACAAAAATCACAAATAGAAGAGGACCCAGAACAGATCCTTGTGGTACACCACACGTAACTGAGCACCATGTTGAATATTTTCCATCCACTACCACCCTTTGTCTTCTAAGGGTCAGCCAATTATGAATTCAATCTGCCACATTTCCCCCCTATCCCATGCCTCCTTATCTTCTGCATGAGCTTCCCATGGGGAACCTTATGAAATGCCTTACTTAAATCCATGTATACCACATCCACTGCTCTACCTTCATCCACGTGTTTGGTCACCTCTTCAAAGAATTCAATAAGGTTTGTGAGGCATGATCTACCCCTCACAAATCCATGCTGACTATCACGAATCAAACTGTGCCTTTCCAAGTGATCATAAATCCTATCTCTCAGAGCCCTTTCCAATAATTTGCCTACCACTGACGTAAGACTAACTGGCCTATAATTTCCGGGGTTATCCCTATTCCCTTTTTTGAACAAGGGAATGACGTTTGCCTCTCTCCAATCTTCCGGCATTATACCCGTGGACAGTGAGGACGAAAAGATCGTCGCCAAAGGCCCTGCGATCTCTTCCCTCGCTTCGCATAGAATCCTTGGATAAATCCCATCAGGCCCGGGGGACTTATCTATCTTCAACTTCCTCAAAATTCCTAGTACATCTTCCTTACTAACATCGACCTCCTCTAGCCTACCAGCTTGTTTCACACTGTTCTCCTCTACAACTAGGTCCCTCTCAGCTGTGAATACTGAAGAAAAATATTCATTAAGGACCTCTCCTATTTCTTTAGGCTCCGTGCACAAATTCCCTTTACAATCCTTGATTGGCCCTACCCTTTCTTTGGTTATTCTTTTATTCCTCACGTACGTGTAAAAAGCCTTGGAGATTTCCATGATCCTATCTGCCAAGGTTTTCTCATGCCCCCTTATAGCTCTCCTAAGCCCTTTCTTCAGCTCCTTCCTGGATAACTTGTATCCCTCTAGAGCCTTTTCCATTCCTCTTTTCCTAAACCTTACATAAGCATCCTTCTTCCTATTAACTAGTCGTTTGACCTCTGTTGAGAACCAAGGCTCCCTCACTCGACCACATCTTCCCTGCCTGCTAGGGACAAACATATCGAGCACACGCAGTATGCATTCCTTAAACAATCTCCATATTTCAATAGTGCTCTTCCCTGACAGCATCTGTTCCCATTTTATGTTACCCAGTTCTTGCCTAACAGAATTGTAATTACCCTTCCCCCAATTATAAACCTTGCCCTGCTGCATGTACCTATCCTTTTCCATGACTATTGTAAAAGTAACAGAGTTATGATCATTACCGCCAAAATGCTCTCCTACCAACAGGTCTAACACTTGGCCCGGTTCATTGCCAAGCACCAAATCCAAAGTGGCCTCTCCTCATGTTGGTCTATCTACATACTGTGTCAGGAATCCTCCCTGAACGCACTGGACAAAATCCACTCCATCTAAACTATTACAACTAAAATGTTTCCAATCAATATTTGGAAAGTTGAAGTCACCCATGACTACAACCCTGTGATTCTGCATCTTTCCAGTATCTGCCTCCCAATCCGCTCCTCTACTTCTCTGCAACTATTAGGGGCTCTGTAAAAAACCCCCCAACAAAGTGACTGCTTCTTTCTTGTTCCGGACCTCAACCCAAACTGACTCTGTAGACATATCATTCTCGAACTGCCTTTCAGTAGCTGCTAAGCTCCAGCTATAAAAATGTAAATGTCAGCTCTGACTACAAAGAGTATAATTCATTTTTTAATTTCCCAGGCAGTTAAAAATTTGAGAGATATTTTCTGGTCAGAGATTTATTGAGGATTAAAATGCAACTCTTGTTTGAGAAAGCAATAGGAAATGGAGTTTTTAATGAATAAGACTCTGGCCAGAGACAATATATGATCAATAATTTGTTGATATTGATTAGTCCTGTTTTATTGTCTTTTTGTTTTAATTTCATTGTTAACATCAAAAAGACTTATTGCTTAATTCTTACAGAGCAAGAAGGCAATCTAACCCTTAACAAAAATTTGTCCCAGCACTGGGGGGAAGATGTTAATCGAGGATCTGTTTCTTCATTAGACCAAGAAGCAATTTTAAATCCTGCAGATACAGGTGAGTTTGCTACCATTATGTGATAAGTCACATGAGAGTGTAGGCTATTGTATTCACTTTTGGGAAATTGCTAGAAAATTATTTTGTTTTCTAAGAATTTATTTTTAAAGTTTGCCTTGGTCACTATGTATTAATGGTATTATTATTCCTGTGATGTAAATTGTTATAAATGGTGATGAATAGTGTTGATTTTTGTCTGTTTACCTTCACGTGCAAATAGAGTAATTTAGTTTTTCACAAGGTAGGAGAAATCATCTGGAACTATTGGAATCAGTTCAGTTCTCGGTCTGTAGCAGGAGATCTGAAAATTGGGTGAGCAGGTCTTGGATAGATTTTACCCGAAATCTTTCTGATTCTGATTTTTGAACAGGCTTCCTTTCATGTCCTAGTCTGCTTAAGCACCTCAAATGATAACAAACTAAATACAAGCAATAATGGTTAAATCTTTACCAATGCCAGGCATATTGGCTAAATTCTTCTCTTTTGCTTTCAAGACCTAATTTGAATGGATACAATCAAAATTCCATATGTGACTGAATTCTTAGACTGAAATATGCCTTGATTATTTTGGTTTACAATGTTTGCAGCAATACTTTAATGTTAAAACAGATTTTTTTCTGTGTTTAATATTTTAGTTTTTGTTTACATTTTGGAAGACAAATTTTATTTGCTTACTGGTGAGCTTTTAAAAGTTCCAAAGAAAAACATCCAATAAGTTCCTGGAATGGATTGAAAGTGGAGAAATACAGGGCTTCAGATTTGGAATAAAATAGTGCACATGAAAAGGAAATCTTAGAATAATAATTCTTTCAACTTTCAAAGAATTCAGACAAACTGCAGAACTCCTTGACAGGATAAATGAAGTTAAATTTCTTGATAACTGTTGGTTTGAATTTAATGCTCGAGGTTGAAGATGAAAGAAAGTGTGCTAATTCGATGAATGGAACTTGAGCCACACTAGCCATTATGCCACACACCTCTAGCCACCTAATGATAAGGGGGTGGCACGGTGGTTAGCACTGCTGCATCACAGCGCCAGGGACACGGGTTCAGTTCCACCCTCAGGCGACCGTCTGTGTGGAGATGGCACATTCTCTCCGTGTCTGCATGGGTTTCCTCCGGGTGCTCCGGTTTCCTCCCACAGTCCAAAGATGTGCAGGCTAGGTGGATTGGCCGTGCTAAATTGCTAAGTGTTCAGGGATGTGTAGATTGGATGGGTTTGGGTGGGTGCTCTGAGGGTTGGTGTGGACTTGTTGGGCCGAAGGGCTTGTTTCCACACTGTAGGGATTCGATGATAACTGAATACAGCAGCTTCCGCAACCAATGAGTTAACAAGGATCTAATTGCAAGGCTTGGCATCCACTGCAAGAAAATCTTCAACATAGACATAGTATTATGCATGGCAGATGAGGTTACCATTGTTCTCTATTTTCTGCTCAATAGCTATTCTCAGACCATGAGGGCTGTTAGTTAATGAGATAGGTACTGACCGCACCCAACCAGCTCATGCTCGCAAAACTCAAAACAAAACATGAGGCAAAATTTTCCCATACCCTGAATACTTGGGCATTGGCAAGTCTGTTAGGAGAATATTGAGAGATTGGAAAAGTTAGATTCTCGACATTGAAAGGAAAAATGTCCAATTTTAAACCAACATTTGAGCAGCGATACAAGAATCTCGATAGTGAGTGGAGAGAGGTCTATTTGCATGATATTACATTTCCTAACCTTACCTCATTTATATGTCCAGACCCGAAACATCAGCTTTCCTGCTCCTGTGATGTTGCTTGGCCTGCTGTGTTCATCCAGCTCTACACCTTGTTATCTCATTTATATGCAGTTTCTTTTTCTCTCGCATGGAGTAGAGAAACTTGATGGTGATACTTCTTGACATGAAAGTCAGAGCAGGGCATCTAGCAGCTCCAGCCTGCCACTTCCTCCTTCAAGCCTCCACCTTGGACAGTCTCGAGCATCTCCAGGTACTCTGTACAGACAGAGACCATTCTGTACCCACTATTCACATTCGTTAGCATTGGACACACATCAGCCTCATCACATTATCAAAGTGTGTTTCTGACTCTCAAAATATAGTTCTCTACTTTAATACTGCTCTTTGAAGTGCACCAACACCTTATATTGTAATGCCTTTGTCAGGTCACTTTACATACTGGGAAGGGCACCCATCTCGTGCATTGGAATATGTTGCATCTCCAGGCTCTTGGCTCACTTTGTTGGCATTCACTCATTCTGCACTTACTTGGATTCTCTCAGCAGCTCTGCCTTGCCTTGCATTTTTTTTTGAGGTTTGCGGTCTCATTCAGAACTCAAAGGCTCCCAGTAGATTTGTCTTGCCTTGCCATTTAGTGCCAGAACAAAGTAAGGCAGCTTTCCGTGTTTGCCAACAGTGATCAGTCCAGCATACGCCAGCAGTTTACAGAGCAACCACACTCATGCTTCAGGCAAATGGTCATGTCTCGAAGTCCAAGGGGAGATCCCCTGGTCAAGTCAAGGAGACAGTCATCAGTCACGGGTTTCTGTCACAGTCAGTTGAAGACAGATCTGATTTCAGTCCACAGTCCTTGACACAGCCAGTTGTCTGATTTTGGGACAGTCAGGGTTAAGTTTCCATACCACTGAAGTCTAGGAAATGTGCCAGATTGAGTCCTGCAGGTCCAGTGCGACCAGTTCAGGGAGTAGTGATATGTCAGTTGGGCAGCTGAGACCAGTCAAGAGGTCTGGTCACCATTAATCAGGACTGTCTGACTGTCCAGGAGGGTTTGGCCAAAGGTCACCACTGCCTGAAAATTAAGGGAGTGGTTGACTAAGGCCACACTGTGGTATGAAGGCCAGGGTAGTCAGTAATGGGGATTGGAGGGAGCATGCTGGAGTGCAGAGTGAAAAATAAATGTGAAGGGACCAACTAAACGTACTGTAAATACCGTTTCTTTATTTTAGTGTAGTTTTGATTATGGACTGAAATGGGAAAAGAATTTGTTTAAAAACCAAGGATTGTTAAAGGCACTTGTTAAAAACAAGTTGCTTGACATTCCATGTAAGTGTTGTTTACACAGCTGTTGGTTTAGCAGTGGAAAAGGCTAATTACAGATAAGCTAGAACCAGAGACTCTGGAAATTTGGCTGCAACAAGTAGCTGTTTGGACTGAAATAGTGAAATGGTGACCAGTTATCAATGACAAATGCTTCCTGTGTGCTAGTAACTAAATGATTAGCTCCCAAGTAGTCAAACAGCTTGGGTAGGAACATAGGGTAGAAGTCATCGGATCTCTCGAAGGGAAGGAACTTTATTTCTGCTCTGCAGTAAAAAGTATCCCAAACCTGAAGATAGCCACTTTATTTCCTGCTTATTGATTACACTAAGCTGTGACTTAATTGATAGATTAGAAACCTTTAAGTGTGAACCAGTCACCTTGTGCCTCTTGCAAACAAGTGGAAGTAGGAAGTACCCGAAGAAGGAAGATATAGAAGCAGTGTTCTCATCAGCAGAAGGATAATGTCAACAAACCCTGTGGAGAAGGACCACTAACTGCCTTCCCAGTATCTCATCGTCATTGTTATGACAATTATTCATAATTGTTTATCTGTAGTTTAGAATATTTATTTGTGATAAATAGTAATTCTTGTTAAGCACAGAATTCTGGTCCATACTTTATCAAGGACTTATAGACAGGTAAATAGGGGAAATTCTACATACTTCTTAAAATCTTTAACATTTGTAACAACTCTGAGCAGTGAGGGTATTATTTCTTGAATGCCAGTAAGGCGTGACGGTCTAACAGTGTGAGATGATAGTACATTGGAGAACATGGGATTATGTGGGAAGGGGTGGTCATCCATCCTGCTTTCGACAGGACGATGCAACATGAAGGTCAACAAGGCTAACCTGTAGATGAAAATTACCTCAGAGTCAGGTAGGAACACGTGGGAGCTCACTCCTAAGTGGGTCAACAGTGAAGAAAGGAGCATGAAGGGTTGTTTTTGGTCACTGATTAACTGTGCTAACGTATTAGCCTGGGAGTTTTGGATTAATCTAGTAAAGTTATCACTAAACCACTGCCTCTCCTAATTGGACATCATTTGCTAAATAATTCTGATTATATTAAAAGTTACACTTACCACCAATTTAAGATTTTCAGGTGGGCCGCAGTTCACTGGACATACTGGAACCTAAGGTTCTTGAGTAGATTTGTAGTTTGGATTGTGGATGCTGTGGTTGGTTTGCTCGCGGAATTGTTTTGTTAGTTTGCAGACGTTTTATTACCCTGCTGGGTAATGTCATCAGTGCAGCCTCCGAAGAAGCATTGTTGTGTTTTTCCGCTGGTTAGTTAAACTCTGGAAATGAGATAATCAACTCCAATGGACCCCAGAGTTTAAATAACCAGCGGGAAAACACAACAATGCTTCTTCGGAGACTGCACTGATGACGTTACCCAGCCAGATAATGAAACATCTGCGAACCAACCACATTACCCAGCAGGGTAATGAAACTAATGAACCAGCTCGGCCGGCAAGCAAACCAACCGCAGCATACCAGAACCTACATATGTTAGTATTAGGTTTCCTCTGAGCTACACATTTCACTGCAGAAGGTGTTGCTGTGCGTGGCTCTCAGAAGTTTGTGCAGTGTCAGAAAAATTAGAGGGAATGTTGCTAAGGCCCAGTTCTTTTCAAAAAGAAAAAAATGTACACCCATTGCATCTGTTTCAACTGGTGACAACCAATCTCTAGTTCATTTATCTGGGTAATGACTTGGCCAGTCAGAGGCTCGATGTCTGGTTTAAACTAAATGAAGTTAGGCAGTTGACTGTCATCTCCTAACTGGTGCAGTCTCCTTGGCAATGCCTTTACTAATCAGTACACTGCACTCATACAGTATAATTCTTGTTTTGCCTTTACACTAGTATTTCATATGAATGATCTTGAGTGCAAGATGAAAAGTTTTGACAAACATGTCTTTTTTTTCAACAATGTTCTGAGGGCAATTGTTTTCAGTGGATAGCAGATCTGGTCTTGCAGATCTACTTGGAGAAAATTTGTCTTATTTTGTAGGAACAATGCAGTTTGCAGATTGCAGCTTCATTCCAGAACAAAAATTATGAAAACTTGACAAATTCTCATACGGATTAATATAATAATGTCTTGGTAAAGAATTTTCCTGCATTTAGTTTTGCATATGACATGGATTGTTCATAATATGTACAACAGGCATTTTGCTGATCAGGATAGATTTAGTCTGGCGCCTCTGCATTACTATATCAAATGACTCGTGTTTGTGTGTGGAATGAATTTCCTAAGGAAGCGGTGGATGTGGGTACAATTACAACATTTAAAAGACATTTGGATAAGTACATGAATAAGGAAGATTTGGAGAGATATGGACCAGGAGGAGGCAGGTGGGACTAGTTTAATTTGGGATTATGTTTGGCATGGACTGGTTTGGACCGAAGGGTGCTGTATGACTCATCAAAATCCCATATAGCAAGGAACTTTGAATAATCAAATCTGGCAAAAGGACAAACCAGTTGGAATCAACATATACTTTTTTTGTGCATTTGTGGTGCATTGATCATGCCTGTACCTCTGGGCCAGAAAACCTGGGTTCAAGTCACACCTGCTCCAGAAGACACAAACATAGGGCTAGAATGAAGCAAATGTATTGCATATGATGATTTAATGCCCCGAACTAGAGCCATTTTAGGGAAGGCAAGATCAGGGACAGTATATTTCCAAATCTTTCCAAATTTGATACACATCTTGTTAAGCTTGTTAAAAGGTCAATTAAGACCAGATCTTGACAGTTGACTGAGACAACAGCTGCAGTCACAGATTTCCCCTCCACACAAGTACCTTGGCAGCTGTGGTTATTTTCAAATTTCAAATCTTTTGAAAGCATCTCTGTCCTCTGCTTGCAATGGCAAGATGTGACTATGCTAAGGGTGTCCTTCTGCCCCTCTAGCTTCAAGACTCTGCCTATTGTCTTTAATTGGATGGTAGTAGTACTCTGTGCTTATTAATTGGCCAAATCAGGCAAAATCCAAGTTGGTGATTGGGTCCCTTGTGGTGCAATGGTAGTTTCCCTACCCTTGGACCAAGTGACCTGGGTTCAAGTCCCAGCTGCTCCAGGGATGTGTAATAACATCCCTGAGCAGGTAGATTAGAAAAATGGGCCCAATTTTAAACAAAAAAACATTAAGTTGGTGACTACAGAGTCAGGAACACAGTAATGTATCATATCAATCTATTCTGTCATTTGTTCCCTAGGTTGAAGAACTATGATCTCACAAATTAACTGAGTTTAGAGAGTATTTGAGTTATTTGTAACATGTATTCTAATAAGGTGCAGGTAAATTCAAAAATCCTGAAGACGAGAAAGGCAGAGAGAATGAAAAGGGCAAAGAAGAAGAAGAAAAGTCATGGGAAGATCAGAGGCAGGGAGATGGAGACAAACAGTGCCTGGAAAGACAGGAAATGATGGAAGGGGAACAGAGACAACTGGAATTCCTAGAACAGGAAAAGGTGAAAATGTTTTTTTTTATATATGTGAGATGCTTACAGTTAGCATTTCACCTTTTGCCATTTATTGCATTCTATATTTTTTGTATTTTACAAATCTTGGTGATTCTGGAAAGCATTCCAAAAGTAGTATCAGAAAAACCATTCTGACCACTAAGATTCCAAAACTTACTACCACCTCATGAAGTAAACAATGACATTGACACCCAACTCCAAAAACTGAAAAAATATGTCTGAAATAGTCCAATTCACACTCTAACCGAACGGTGAGCAATACTGGGAGAATTTTCAAAATTCATTGCTATTAGGTATTATTTGTTTGGAGAACAAGTAATGGAATTAACTTAGGGGGCAGTCATTTGGGTGTTGAATCAGGGCCCCACTGGGTTAAATGGAGGCCTTGACCATGCACTGTGTGGGGAAGTTGGAGGGTGAATGGGAGGTCCTCCAGTTTGATCAAAGCCATTTAGTGAGAGAGAGAGGGTACCGCCTTCTTGAGGTTAGCTCTCTAAACTTTTGTCAACATTAAAACCAGAATGATCAGATAATGCAGAGAAAATTATCAGCACAAATTGATGGGTCAAATGGACAGTTTCTGGATCATTCCCTGAAGCATTCCAGGTTTCAAAGTTATTCTATAAACAGTTGTTAGTGGATATTCTAGAATAGCTTACATATCTTTTCTCTCTACCTGATTCATAACTCAACTTCTAACCTTCATCTCCCAGCCAAGGTCTGAAATGTGCAGGAAATTAACAAGTGCAAAGCCACATCCAGCTGCTTTTATCAAGTTGTCCTCATGATGTTTGGGATTACTGAATACTTTAAAATCCCTTTGTAGCCTCTTTATTCAGCCATAAATTAATACTGTAAATTTTGCTATCAGTGGAAATTCCAAAATGCTTATTACATTTATTCAATACAATTCATATTTCATCATCTTCAATATCAAAACGTTCCTCATATCAGAATCTGAGCTTCTTTTCAAACAAGTTTTGTTCTTTAACATGCACTTTTCTTTTTGGTTATTATGATCTTAATGTTTTGAACTTTACACACCTTAAAGGAGGAAAAACTGAAGATAGAGCCAAACAAAGAAAGATCAAAGGAGTGGATTTCAGAAGGTGCAGAATTGCCAGCTTCAAGTACAGATCCACTTGAAAAATATATGAAAATAATTCAACAGCAGAAGGAAGAACAACTGCAAGAACAGGTGATTTGATGTAATTGATGCTGTTTAAAGTAGAATAATCATCTCATTTTTGTGAAAGTAGAGTGGCATAATGGGGGAACATTTGCATAAACAATCCAAGTCTTATTCCTTTTCCCAAAGCAGTGTAATATTTCAACTTGGTGCCATCCTCTTATAGCTAGTTATAATATGTTTGTAATGACTATTTATGTTTTATTTGAGTATCAATCCAAATAATGGTATAATCAGTTCTTCAAATTTATGTTGAAACACTTTTGAATATTTCAATAAAATGTTTTGAATTTGATAACTTCAAATAATTTCTGGTGTAACACAACATGCCTGTCTCTGCTAAATCCAAGTTGATCCGGACCACAAAACATTAAGATCGATATTACGGTATTGTTTCTGTGGGCAGGTTCAGAATTTGGTCTCAATGGATTTTCTTTATTTGCTTGTGGGATGTTGGATTTATTGGCTGGGCCAGCATTTGTTACTCATCGCTAATTGTAGTTTTATTTGTGTGGCAGTCAGTGGTTAAAAGGAAAGCTCAAGGCACGAAACTTTGTGTATATTTCTCTTGCTGGGTGTTTCCCACTCCTCTATTAGTGTCCTTGAGGAAATTCCAGGTGACTCTGTTTGTTGTCACTTTGCTAAATGGTGTTGAACATTTTAATAAAGTTCGACACTAATTACAGTTTCAATTCAGAAATATTAATTAATCATTTCTTTTGGATGAGGAGCAAAGTTTGGAGACATTTGTAATTTGCGATTTGTCCCAGTACACAGAACAACTTTTCCTAGTGGTTTCAAATATGAGTTAAAATATTGAATTAAAGTAAATCCTCTGGTAGATAACATAAATTATGTCAAGAGTGCTTATTTAACAGTTCTTAGAATGGCTTCTGCCCACCCTCCCTCAATTAAGAAATATCACAACAAGAACAGGGACCAAGTAATACTTAGGGTAGAATATGAAAGCAGGGTTTGGTTGAGCTCATGCTCTTGCTAAATGGAGGATTGCCATGAAAACATTGGAGTAATTTAGTCTGAAGATGATTGTGATGTGGTTGAGGTAGAGAGTAAGGTATACAATGTCACAGGTGTAGAAGTCTGTAATGCCTTTGGTGGAGAAGCTTTCAAAGGGAAAATGACACTGCAAAATAGCACCTAGATTGCTTAAAATAAGATTTTCCACTTATGAATTACTTGATTTGAACTCCCCATTACATTGCTTAGTTCCATCTGTCTAGCAACAGTCACCCCAAACAGCAGCTCACTTCATTTGCCAATGAAACACTGCTGAGCATAATATTTCAGTGCAATTCTGGCCTGTTTTGTCCTCTTCAGCTTTCATCAGCTTAACCAAAATTCTGTTGCTCGTCTATCCTTTACGAGTTGTGTTTACTCACTGACTTATATTGGTTTCCAGACCTTCAATGATCAAATTTGAACTTTTCCTTTTTTGAATGTTGTGATCTTGACCTTGCCCCTCCTTAATGCTAACTTCCTCATGCCTACAACACTGCCCGTACCTTTCTCTCTCAAAAGAAATGATTCCTATCTTTTGCTCCATTTGAAGATATGCATCTTTGCTTGGCTTCCAACCATTCCACCCCAAGATAGCTCTGTCTTAATGTACATTTTTGCCTGATTAGAGAGGTACAAAGTATTTTGGGACAATATTCTTGTTAAAGGTACTGCAGAAATGTAAGTTGCTAAAGCTTAATTTTTTTTTTTGTACTGTGATAGTTTGATAACCCACTAAAATGCAATAACTGCAAAATGTTCTTTTCAGAGTTCTAAAAGGGAAGTAGAAGAGAGTTCTTTACTCCAAACATTGTCAGATGGAAAAGCTGGCAGGTAAGAGAAAATCCCAGTTTCATATTTAATATGTCACAGGGCTTTTTAAAAGATGCAATGGAAAAATAATAATAATCTATCCTATTTATTAGGGCAAAACTAAAATTGTGCAACTCACTTGTTTGCCCAGTAAAATTTGCTGAATAAGTTAAGTCTGTCTTTGCTTTTCAAAATATTGCTACCACTGTACACTTTGGTAAGTACCATGATTGAATTAGCAGCAACATGTTATTATGCTACAGATCGATGTTCCATACATTTTTAAACTTTAAAGCCTTATGAAATAAATTATTGTAGAGATAACCAAGTGCTTAGAGAGGACTAGAAGCAGAGTATGCTGTAAGGTGTCCGAGCCCATGTAGACTTAAAATCTCCAGAATATCCAGTGGTTGTCTGTTCTGCTGAATTAACATCACTGAAAGGTAGTCATCATTCCTTCCAATTGAAAGTGATAAACAATTATAGCTTTGAAGCCATTGCACAAAATGCTATTTATATTCAGAGCTATATTTAAAATCTAACTACAAGTGTTTGGAATCTGATATTAAAACAGTTAAGCTGCATGCAAAAGCACCTGGACAGCATTCAGGCTTTGGTTTGATGATTGCAAACAATAGTTGCCATGCCTAGCAAGGGGAAAATCTAACCATTGCTAAATTCCCAATGTCAACACCCTAAGGATCATGAAACATAAATATTGTGCTGCTAAGGCATTGTAATTTTGCACTGATTTACTTTGGCTCCCCAGAGCCTGTCCACTATTTACAAGATACAAATCGGGAATAGGATGGAATATTCCCTACTTGTCTGGATGAGTGTAGTTTCAGCTCCAAGTTCCTCCAGATAAAACTGTGTTTTAATGAGGACTGTGGCTACAGAGAATAATATCAGTTACCTGGCTGTTCGTTGCTTACAATGACATTTTCATTTTACAGTTCTGCAGCTTCGCATGATGAAGGTGATGACAATTTCTGGTGAAATACACCCAACTACAACACAGACCTACTCCAGAATGTAATCCATTGTACACTTGAAATTTTAATTGGATTCATATAAATATTTAATTCTTAATAATGTTCTGACTAAAGACAGTTTTTTAAAATACTTAATTAGTCAATGAACAGTGTGATTATATTGATACAATTTTTATGCAAAAACTCTGTAAAATATAAGTTTGAGAAAAAGTTAAAACCTTTTGTGATTGATACAAACTTATCCCTTCAGGTCTGAATTTTTCAGCTATGGCCTATAGTGTAACCTGCTAGTACTACCTTTGGAGACTGATATTTATATGTATAGTAACTTATTGCGCATGAGTAAACCTGTTGAGGGAAAAATGAAACAGGAAGGGAAAAAGGCTAATTAAAAATAGCACATGGATAGTATGAAAAGGAAAATGAAAGAAACACACATTTCAGAAATGAGAGGGTGGGAAGAAATCAAAACAGGCTCCAGATAACAAAATAAAGAACAAAAAAAAGTGAATTGTGGCTTCTGCCCCCAGGTTGTTGATTGATATCTTTGGCTTAGGTCATGCATCTGCATAGACATAAAATTTTAACTCAAATGACTTATTGGCCATTTGGAAGGGAACACTAGAAGGATGATGACCATTACAATAGAAAATAGTTTACTTATCAGATTATAAAAGACAGAAGGTGATTCTAAACCATGCAATTTCAGTGCATAGAAATGTTCTGCTCAAGCAACTAAACGAAACAGGGTAACATTGTAATGTTAAAAAAAAATCTAACTTTTAGTTCAAGGCAAACATTTAAGTCAGATTTACCCATATGCTTTGTTTGCTCAATAGTATGTTCAACTGTCTTGCCTTAGATACAAAGAATTTGACTTGCTGAAATATACAAGAATACTTTAAACATCTTAACACTAGGAGAAATAGCTTTTATTTAATTGTTAATGAATTAGCACATAACTACTAAAATTGAAAAGTAAATTTCCACAGAAAAATCCTGGAAACAAACTTGGTTAATCTTTCTGTTCATATGTAAGTGAAGTTTATATGCCCAAGTTAATGTTAAAGTTTAATTTGAAAGAATGCTGTATACTAAAAATGATTTAATTACAAAGTGACATGTTAAATTCATTTTTACAACTCTTATAGAATGTCTGTTAATGGAATTTGTCACAGGAACGGTTCAGGTTAACAATGTGCGAAGATATGCACTTTCATTCAAATAATTAAACTTGTGATAGATATGAGAATTTTAGTTCAAATCATAAGAACAATTTATAACCGCTGGCTTTTGCATGTCCTAATTTTAGCAGTATGTTTAGTAAAGGAAGATTGTAAATGCCTAAAATTAGCATTTGTTGACATTAGAAAGAAAAAGCTGTAGAAATGAGGCCAACTGAACTGTAAAATAACGTTAACTAGATTTAATCATCCACTTCTGTCTATCAAAACTGAGCTAAACCTAAGTAATGAGTGGTGTTGGTTAACTCGAACAACAATAGAAAACTTAAACTGCATGTTTAAGATATAAAATGATAAATGGTTAATGTATTAGATTATATGTGCTTATTAGAAACACTGAAAATACTAATTTCAGGTTGGATATACAAAAAAACGCAGGCATGATTAATCTATCTAGAATCTTAAAAATTTGTTAATAATGAAATGATAAAGAAGGCTGTGGTCTACAGTAATAAATCAGATTATTACATATGGAAAATGAAAGAGATCTATTGCAAAACCATTATGTATTTGGAATACATTTACTTGGATTCCAAAAGATAGTTTCTTTCTCTTTCTGCTAGCTCAATTAGTTTATTTTTGCTGCCACCACCCCACCTCCACTACCTCACACACACACACACACACACACACACCCCATCGCCCCCCCCCCCCCCCCCCCCCCCCCCAAAAAAAAAACTGCTGTTGATCTGTTTATAATGCACACTGAAGTTGTACAGGGAATGTAGTCCAGAAATGGAAAAAGGGGCCTAAAGACTAATTCCAAGTACAATTTATGATGAAAATAAATCTATTAAAACTGAGCACTTTCCTGGAATATTAGGAACTGAGGAATGATTTGTAATACAGGAATTAATACAAACTGCTCACTGAAGATGTTCAGTTTGGTACTTAACACTTGCAAATTTGCTTGTTAATGGACGCACATCTGTACTGCGCAGCAGTCTATAGATTTGTCACAGCTGCTAGGTTTTCTGTTCAATGGCTCTGCTGGTAAATGTTGGACTGTATTGTTCTTATGTGTAAGAATTCAGTCGTTCTTTTGATCGGGAAGCATGGATATCGTGAAGTTCCTGCTCTTCTTTCGTTTTGAGATCCTGGTATATTTGCATTTTGCATGCATCCTTCAAGTACGCCCAGTTTGCAGACAAAATCATGAGGAAATGGATCTGGAAGAGAAGGGTGAGGAGGATGGCTAGTGAGCATGTCAAGATGTATAGCATGCTGCTAGTCAGATTACTCCAAGCTGTTAATTAAAACAAGGTTACAATTAAGGGTAAAACTAAAGATCATATAATTCTGAGTAGTGCAACAACTTAGCTGTTATTTGGGATCACACAAAGACACAGCTGTCAACACACAAAAGTATGGACATGAAAACTAATTCATGAAGCTCTATCTTGAAATACAGTTTAAAGAGAGACCTGGACAGTTTTCTATGTCCTGAAATTTTTTGAAAATCATGAACCAAAGCTAGAAACCAAGTCTTATTAAACTAAATTCAGTATTCTGTATTTTTAAAATATGTTTTCTAGGTATGCATATATAACAGTCTAAATTATAGGGAGCATATGATGCTATTTTCATGAATGAGAATTCCTGTTTTCTTAGGAGAATGTTCGTGAAAAATGTGGGTATAAAATTGCCTAAATCCAACCCAAAATGTAAGAATGTAGAGAAGACTGCATTTTGAATCATCATAGAACTCCTACAATGCAGAAGGAGGCCATTCGATCCATGGAGTGACCCTCTGAAGAGCATCTCACCCAGACATAGCTCCCCACTATATCCCATAATCCCACATTTACCATGGCTAATCTACCTAACCTACACGTCCCTGAACACTTCGGACAATTTCAGCATAGCCAATCCACCTAACCTGACATCTTTAGGTGTTTTGCTATCACTGAAAATTGATAACAGAAATGCTAGAGGAATGTATTTGAATTAACATCAATGACTGCAAGATGAAGTTCAGTAGTTGTTGGTATGGTTTCAGAAAGCTTCAGAAAGAATGTCTATGTCTCCGTATCTTAAAATACTCCCAAAGGAAAATTAGGCTTTAAAATTGGTTTAAAAGCATTCATTTTTGGATAGCTAGAAAATCCAAGTAGCTTCACAGCTGAGGCTAATGTGTAGACTTTTCATATCTTTAAGTTTTTAAGTCATTAACTCCAAATCACTTCTGCAAAAACTGAAGAGAAGTACATGGGTAGTGGAGTTTACATTCATACAATTATTTGTTCAGACAACTGAATGAAGTGGAACTGGTGCTAACATTAAAAAGACCAAACAAAAAAGCCACAAATTTGGAAGACCAAGTGACGAAGAGAGGAAACAACTAAAAGATGTTGCGTTGCTGCACAGAATACGGGTCTTCAGGTGTGATAGGGAACAAAGAAGATCAAAAAGAGAAAAAGGCAGGGGAATACATGAAAGTGATCCAAAGTAGAGGCAAGAGATTTGAGAGACTATTGCTACATCATTCTTGTGAGCTTTAGAGCAGACATCTGGAGTTTTAGCTTAATTGCTCATGAAGCATTTTTGGTATTCTTGTGTGTCATTCCAAATGTAGATGAAGGTTAGAATATCCTCTCACTGTCCAAATAATAACCCAAATTGTACCATCTGAGCAGCTGTCTGTCAGACTTGGCTACATAACTAGAAACTGTCCTCTGCTTAGACTGATCAGAGAATTGAATGGTTAACTAGGAAGTAGAAGAACCTCTTGTGTTTAAACTTGAATAAAGTTCAGTTGTTCTACCATGACTTCCAAAGTTAGCCAGAACTGCAACATCAAAACTTTTTTAACTACATTAATCTGTATAGAGTCTAGTCCAACCTAATAAAAGTTAGAATATAACAGCTCTGACTGTTGGGAAAATATTGCTATGCAGTTAAAAATAAATAGCTAATACTGGCCAAAATAGTCTGATGATTACTACCTTGCCTAGATTGTGAGAGCAAAAAATGGAGGGGTATTGATAATGGGTCACTCAAAAGGAGAAAGAGGAGAGAGGAAGATTTGGGATTACTGGGTGGGAAAATTAGTCGGTCGACAGAAATTAGCAAATTAAATGGGCAAGCGATTGATGGTAAATCGTAACTGTCCGAACTTTTCTTTTAAGCGGTAATATATTTTACGGTATGAATTACACGACTAAATTCTTAATATTGCTGATTATATAATTGATTTAGTATGCTGTGCTGCACATTCCTACACTTGCAAGTTTGTAAATTTCGGATTATATTTGTATTATAAATAGGGAAAAATAGGCATAAATGTGAAACAGATTTGAAGATTACTCTGAAGCATCCTGTAAAAATAGGTATTTTGCTAAATATAATTCCAAACCTTACAATTCTGAACAGTGCTAGAACTTATTACCAGCGGGGCAGAATCAGACTGCCCCAGCTTTTCTTATTGCTGAGAATGAGTTGTCAATGAGCTGATTAAGCTACAGTTTGCTTAGGATACTGCGCTTGGATTTGTGTGGGAAGCAAAGAAAATAAGCATGCATAATCTTGAATTACGTTGTGTCCGTTGTTGGCTGATGATTGTGAAACAGATGTAACAGTTGTAAAAATGTTTATTCGCCTGTTGTTTCCACCCTCCCAACTAAAGGAGAAGGTGCATTGGTAAATCAAATTGGGTTGGGGATAAATAATAAAGGAACACATGTAATTCCTAAAAGCATAAAACTTTACTGAAGAATGATGAAAATCACGAAAAGGCAGCGATTTTGTAAAGAAAGCATGTTTATTTTGAGTATATGAAGAAAAAAATGATTGAAAGTCAATAAAGTGTCTATACATACAATTTCAAAATACTGCATTAAGAAAATTAAATAATGCCGAAATGTGGGAATTTTTGTAACAAAAGGTGACTAAAAACAAGTGTAAAGCATGCAGTTTTGAGGTTAACAAATATTATAATGGCACATTTGAAGATTTTTAAAATGTCTGGCAAAGGCAAGTGTTACACTTAATTAACAAAGAAACAATGTACTAACCCTTGGCTGTCAATGCTGTAACTGCAGAGAAAAAATGTTAGTATTTAGGGCAGTCACTCATTCTCATACTAAGCCTCAAACTGGTGCAATCCCAGCAACACAGAAGAACCCTACTCATGGGAATGGGGAATAGGAGACAATCTATATTCCATCACTTCTTACACCAAACAACCTATTTTTCACAATCTCTTGTGCTCCAACAAACAAAACATTTGCCATGGTTCAGGTGCAAGATCTGGCTATTTAAGGAGTCAGTTTCTGAGGACCAAGACTGGTCTGGTTGTATTCAATTGGTCACTTAACAAATTTAGGCAGATTCTTTTTGATGCACAAGGTATCTTAAAAGCAGTTTAGTTGCTCTCACTGCATTATTTCCCTTTTAAAACTTATGTTAAATTTTTCTATTATAGAATACAAAGCTTGTCTCCCTGTATTTTTAAAGTCAGTAATCAGTGTGTGTTAGTTTGTTATATATTTCCATAACATCAAAACTTTTTGAAGACAATATTCCAGAGAAATGAGAAAATTAGAAAACTTAACTGGGTGCAAAATATCTATCAATGCATACTTGCCTTTTAAATAGAAATTTGCTTTAACAAATCATGCATGTTCAAAGCTCCTATATGTGCCCTTAACTGTTCATGATAATGGAACAAAATAGATAAACCATTCCCACAAATCTACTTTGTTTCCAATACCAGCAGCATTTAATTGGACCCACTATTTTTCAATGTGATTTTAAAAAAAATCTGGTGAGTGCATTGCATTGGTAAACCAGAAGTTATAACTTTTTAAAATAATGAAATCAAATTTACAAAAATGTTTGCCTTATAACAACAACAATTTACTGATTTGTTTTTTTGTAGAGACACAATTCACTGAGTGACTTGTGTGCTTTTATTGAACTGAGCACTCTTGATGAAGGCAAAAATGGTAGGAGAAGGGCATCTGATTTGGCATTTTATTGGTTGTGGTATTTTAAACTGATCAGCCAATTTAATTTGTTTAAAATATATCAGCCACCTGAATTTACAAAACTTCCAAACCATTTACAATGTAGTTCAAGTTAGTCATCCTGTGGCAAATACACTAATTGATTTACAGTTCAGACAAGCCTCACAATTTGGCAATACTGGATGAATAAAGTGGATCTGAAAGAGTCCTTTAAAATGAAATGGAGTTAAAGCAGATTGTGGGAAAGCTTTGATATAACAAAATTTGCTCCAATAAATTTCTCTTGTGTTTAACACATAGGAAATCAGTTTTGGACTTCTTAAAATTTTGTCACCATTAGTAGTGAAATTTCTTCATATGAAACCATTGATACATGTTACTTCTTCTATGTTAAGTCTATCTCATCATCAATTGATAACTGAAACACGCATACACTTGCAATGGCATGTGCGTGAGCAAATGAATGATTTGGGACCAACCAATAATATATAAACCTTTCTTATCAATGCAATGCGATCGGCATGAAATAGTGATCCCATATTAAGAGACAAAAATAGCCAGACCGTACATCTCTATGGCAGTCATGTTAATTCAAAAAAGACACTAGAAAGAGTGCTGTAAGTGTTGATGCTATATGATGCTTTCTTGCGCTATTTACAAATTATTCTTTTGTAAAATGCAGATTAATAAGTTCTGTTTTAGTCCATGATGCCAGTGGTAGTTCAAGCTACTCAGTGCGGCTCGTAGAGCTCTGTATACTGCTTCTATAGCAACTTAGAATTTTGTGCAGCAGTCTTCTCGACTCTTAAACTTCAAAACAGCAAAGTTATATGTGGTAGCCATCATGTAGATGAGCTGGTAGAAGGAAACAGAACAAAGTGATAAGACAATGCTCACCAACACCGGCACTCCAGACAACACTGCAAATCCACATAAACCCCTATCAATAATGTTTGACAACAAAATAAAATCCATTCATTTTGGCAGAAATACCTACAAACAAGACTGTGCCTTTCAATGACTATAGTAACATTTTCAAATTAAATAGTGCAAGCCCCTAGCCCCAAACAGCTTTTACTGTAAAGCAGTACAAATTGTATTCAACAGACACAATGGGAAGTCAAACACCATGTATCATCAATTTTGACAGGTCAAGGTGACAGCATTTCAAACACATCTGTCAAATTGTTCTTACAGTTGTAAAATCGAGATGGTGTTCAACAAATAATGATCAACATTTATATTTAGCCCTGAAATAAATCATTTTCCTAACAAAATGAATTTGGTTCAGAAATGCTAGATTAGCTGCTGCTCTAGAATACCAGATCAAAGTTCAAGACACTAAATTCAAACTGCAGTCTCCACTGATATTCATTTAGAACACAACAGAAAAAAGCACATGTATGAAACTATCCAGTGGTCCCTTTTCAGAGCACTCAAAAACACCCTCAATGGAGTCAAAAGAAACAAGAGTGGTAGAGGTTGAACAGATCAAGTAAAGTTTGAAAAGATAAAATTAAGCTAAACAAAATAATCAGTTCTGCTCCACAACGTATCCCTAATTTGAAGGTGCTTATCTTTAGATTACCTGAGCATCCCCTCAATTTTTGTGGTGAAATACCAAAGACTTTTAGCCAAGTGTTTGTCATGAATGTATTGTGTTATTACAATGTGTCATTTTTCAAAACAAATCCAATAAGGTTCAGACCTAAATTAATTTTATATTGTAATAATTATGAATTTAGTGATCATCATCCTTATTTCAGTGTTGAAAAATTAAATACAATTACAAAGCTAAATACAATTGTAAATTGTACAGTTTATATCAAACTCTCAAATTCTAATGAAATGAAACAACAATTCTTCTTGGTGTAGCCTTTCATTTATCTAAGTTTTTTTAAAATAAATATTGTTGCTTCCCACAACTGTTCTTTATGATGTGTAATCAATTATATCATGGACTCATCACTGTTAATTTTAACTTTCAGAATGGGTGGGTAATGGCATCTAAAGGAAGTAACAAAAAGGCTACACTAAACAGCCAAGTGCTTTTAGAGTGCTACATATGTAACAGGTGAAGCAAAAGCACTTACATGTGCCCTGGAAAGCAAATCTATTTTCTAAATCATGTGTTTATACTCCTCCACAGCCACCAAAAGCTATCCACTTTCTATGTGCAGCCTATTACTGCAGGCCTTGCCACCCAAAAGCCAGCCAGACAGAAACAAGTCCAGAAATTTAAAGCAGGTCCTTTTATTACATTTCAGCAGAATGTCCAGGGAACTGTACTTCCAGATTTCCCTGCCAATACATCTCACAGCCCACTTCTCTGCAAATACATCCATCAGGTCCATACTGCAGTATGTGTGTGAGAATCCGAATGAGTGGCATGTTTTCAAGGATAAATCATCTCAAGCTTTTCTCATTTGCTAAATAAATTCTTGCTGTATAAGATGGAAGGTTGTGAACCTGGAATCTGAGAGACAAAGATTGTGATTTTATGAAACAGTAATTGGAAAGATAGTTGTATGAGAATTGACGAAGGCGTGCGAAGATGAAGGACCCTGTGAGGCAAGTATGTTAATTTGACTTAGTGAGGAAAAATGGAATGCAGTATCTAAGATGCATATGAGAGTGTATGCAAGAGGATTGTAACTGTTAGTATGTGTGACTGTTTTGCCTGCATACTTCTCAAATTTCTGCAGGTGCATGTTTAAACTGTTCGAGTGCCCTAAATATCTTCAACAGATCTGGTACATGAGTTCACTATTTCAGTCATCAATTTCTCTTCCCCTCCAAATAAAGATAGTTCTCTCTTTTATGCAAGGGTATTCTGTATATACAAATGTACAAAGCAGTAGTAGGCCATTCAGCCCCTCAAGCCTGCTTCACCATTCAATAAGATCACTGTTGATCCGATTGTAACCTCAAACCACATTTCTGCCTTCCCCTCATAACCTTACACCTTCTTGCTTAACAAGAATCTATCTACCTCTGCCTTAAAAATATTTAAGAACTCTGTTTCCAACAGCTTTTCAGGGAGAGGATTCCAAAGATTCACAACCCTCCAAGGGGAAAAAACATCAGCTTAATCTGTTTTCACTGGGCAATGCCTGATTTTTGAACAGTGACCTGTAGTTCCTTATATCCTTCACAACACAGTTTATCCTAATGAAGCAGCAGTGGGGTGGAAGTGTACGGAAAATCCTGAAATCCTGTACACTAAACATTACGTAAAGCAATTTTAGACTGCAATGGTAAATTTTAAAGACAGAAAGAATGACAAATAGGAGCCCTAATTTGGACTAGAATTAAGCAGACTCGGAAACAGTAATTAAGTGCACTCAGTCTAAATAGATTGCACCTTACTCACCAGTGCAATGACAGTAGCACCAGCTCCAGCACAAGCTACGATAAACAGATGATAGGACAAATCAAACTGGAAAACAAAAAATAAAATTACCTCATTTTCATCTACTTTTTGGGCTATCACAAACATGTTGGATTTTTCAAATTATTTTATGAACAGCGTTGAAATAAATAATATCAGTGGCAGATTTATCTATGTATACTTTTTCAGCACAATCTCTCTCACATGCAAAACAAATGTATAATTACCTCAGATGTGTGGCAGATGGCAGTCAAGGTTAAGCCACAGGCTTTTCCAGGTGAGGCATTCCAGGGAATGATACCTGTCAAATTAATCAAAGTAAATGTAACATTTCTAGTATTGTGTCAATTAAAACCTGATGATTTTCAAATTGCCAAATAAACCCTTCTTGTTTGTGGAAAAATGATAATTTTTTTTAAAAAACGTGCCAAATAGTGAACATTGGCTTGATCTGTCATGTGATTAAACATATAACCTATAATATGTAATCTCAGTCTTGCCTTTCCTTGTCAGATAATAAATTCAGCTAGCTATGTGGACATTTCAACCAACTATTTTTCTGAATAATTTACAAAACAACATTAAGGTACATTATGTAAATGTTGGACATTAGCTAAAGGGTGGCATCAAAAGATCCAAATCAGGTTTATCTTAAAGTTGATCCAAAATAGAGAAATTTGAAGAAGAATGGAACTCTGTTCTGTAAGATAGCTTTGCATTGCTCAATGGTTACAGGATAAATAATTGAATAATTTACCTGATCCAGTTCAATATAGCAGTTAGAAAGTTACATTTTTAACTGCTGCATAAGCGTACAATTTCAAATGATTTAATTTTAGTCTGAAAGATGATTTACTAAAGCAATTGTAGAAAACTATTGTTAATATCCTTATAAATTCCAACGTCAAAGAGAAATTTTCAAAATCTCGTGAAGAAAGTTGAGGAAATAGGTCTGCTGCCAGCTCATTAATACTCTTACCCATCCCACTGAGGCTGTAGACTAAACAGGTTTTTTGTGTTTGGCAGGTATTAGTTGGAAAGAAACACAAGGCATGTCTGCACCCATGTGTTTTGATAGATCTGTTGTCATCCTGATCAAGTATGTCCAGACCCGACCACTACCTCCCTCTAATGCTTCCATGAGTGAAAGAAAGCATGCATGTAGACACTGCCTTTGTAATCATCCACTTCAAACAGGCACTTCTGGTACCATCCAACCTGCCTCCCTTCACTCTGTCATTCCTGTTCTTACAAAAGCCATAAATACAGAAGAGATCATGTCAGCATCACTGAAGATTAAAACAAATAGAAGCAAAATAATTGTCACAAAAGCTCCAGAAACATAGCTCGTATGAAGATGTTTACTGAATCTCCTCATTGGGAGCTGTAATTCAAATTCCCTATACTCTTAGTAAGACAAAATGCCTTCTTAATATTGATGTTACATAAAATGAAAGAACTTACACTCATATAGCGTATTTCTCATCCTTTGGACATCACAAAGTATTTCATGCTCAGCACTTTTTGAAGCATGCTCACTGTTCTAATATAAGAAATATGGCAGCCAATTCATAAAACCATATCACACAAAGAGCAATGACATAATGATGAGCTAATCTGTTTTTAATCAAGTTGACTGAAGAAGCAATATTGAGGAAGACATGAGGGAGAACTCTCCTGCTTTTATCCAAATTGATGCCATGAACCATCTCACAGAATTGAGGGGTCAGGTCTCTAGGACTTGAACGCACAAGTTATACAATTAAATCAAAGTAAATGACCCAATATGATATGTAAACCCTAGTGTGTGCACTGAAATCATATCATATATAGCAGCTTCATTTAAACAATTAGCTCTGGTCTGAATCCTTAAGAGATGTTTTAAGAAAACAGCACAGCTAAGACAAAGGGGCTCATGTTGTTAAATTGTGAAATAAAGCTAAGAAAATTGAATCTGCTCTAACTTAAAGATGAAAGAGAGAAGAACAGAGGCCACAATTTTTAAATAATAAACAAAATCAATATTGTGGATAAAAACAAATATTTTGTACACAAGAACATAAGAGAATCAGGGGATATGATTCAAAGCTAAAGAAGTTAGCATTTAATCTTGAGAAAATTCTCTCATTGTCCTTCACTGCTAATGCAACCATTGCACTTTATCAGCTTCAGGTTTGTTCATTTGATCTCCTCATTGGCCTTGCTCCCTCTTCTCGCCACAAATTTTTGTGACGTAGGAACAGAAGTAGACCATTCAGCCCATTGCGTGTGCTACAATATGAGAACATGGCTTCTAATCCCCAACTCCACTTTCCTGCCATATCCCCATAACTATTGATTCCTTTACTGATTAAAAAAATCTCTCTCTAGCGTGAATGTATTTAATGACATAGTCTCAACAACCTTCAGTGGTAAAGGATTCCATAGTTCATTACTCTTGGGATCAAAAATAAAGTAATTTAGATATTGTTAAATATGTACTTTTCAGATCAATACGCTATACATAAATATGTTCTCAATCCATTACATATTTTAGCAGTATTGCCATAGTTTCATAATTTTCATGAAACTGCTTTGTTATTCTCTTGGAAAACAAAACTCATTAAATTAATCAACAAATTAGTTCATGGGTGTTACTCATAAAATCATAACTACAAATTCAAAGGACCAATTGGTGATCTTAACTAATAAAACCTAGATCAAGGTCCCCAATTCAGCCTCTTAAAAGGTTTCTGAGCTTTTGCCTCCATTACTTGTGCTGTTAGTAGGGAAAAATTCCTGTCATGAGCCCATACTTTATATAAAGGGGAAAGAATTTTTTTTAATCAATCATGGAGTGAGGGTGTCATTGGCTAGGCAGCATTTATTGCCAATCCCTAATTGTCCAAAGGGCAATTAAGAATCAACCACATTGCTGTGGATCTGGAGTCACATTTAGGCCAGACCAGGTAAGGAAGGCAGTTTCCTTCCCTAAAAGAACATTAGTGAACTTGATGGGTTTTTCCAACAATCAATTCATGGTCATCATTAGACTCCTAATTTGACGGTTTTTTTTATTGAATGCAAATTCTACCACCTGTTGCAGGGAACTCCTCTGAGTGACATTACTGAAATGTTTGATAAAGCCTCTTTTCTCTCTTTCTTCATTGTAAACAGATTTAACCCATTTATTTTAGTTATCCTTGTATTAAGTCATATGGGAAGCTGTTCACAAACATATAGCACTGCAAAACATCAGACCTTTGTAGAGGTCTTTATTCTACTAAATACTAAATTAAGGAGAAATATATTTATAGCAATTTATCAGCTGATGGGACTTAATAAAGCATGAAGGGATGTGATTTGTAGCGAGCAGGCACACTGGCATTTTTGCTTTTGAGGCAACCCCTCCCCAACCTCTGGTATTATAAAAATTGCAAGGAGCTGAATATTTTTACTATATAAACAACTAGTTATAAAATGGAACATACATGTTGTAAAAGGTAATAGTTCTCAAAGAGTTGATCGGTATATCTCATGCACGTTTAACAATCTGGTGCCGTAATAGCATCTTTTGGTGTAGAAACAGTAAGGCTAAAATGAGATCCAAATGGAGACAGTCATGACATACCTGGTCTCTAACAGTTGCAATTATGCCTAACTAGTTAAGGTTAATTATACTTATGATAATTGTACAATTAACTATACCCTGATATGTAAAACATATACCTCTTCTTGTTAAGACTCCCTAGTCGTCAATTTTAAAAACTAATAATTAGGCCCTTAGACTCAGCAGAAAAAGGAAGGTTGGTGGCAGCAAACTACCCAGAGGCGGATATGTCAATATATATTTTGTTCTTCTTTACTCAACGTGAAACTGTTGCTGGAGCTGAGCAACAAGTTTGACAAGCTGCAAGGTGTTTTCATGTTAGTTCATCAGTTCTGATGAAGGGTCCTGACCCAAAACGTCGACTTTCCTGCTCCTCTGATGCAGTCTGATGTGCTACGTTCCTCCAGCTCCACACTGTATTGAGGTGTTTTCATGCACCCATATTAGGCTGGTAGACTGTAATTGGAGGTTGGGTGGTGCAGTTTAACATGGACAAATGTTTGATAGATGAATGCAACAGATTCTGAATGAACTGGTATTTATGCAAGGTAAAACTGGACTAGGAAAAGAATTAAAAAATTTGATTCTCAAGATGCCAGAAATGCAATTGAAGATTTCTTTTTCCCCCAACAGTGGGGCTTCATTGAGCCAGAAATGGGTAATATTTTCAAGTGGACTTTTAGGATGTGGGGCTTGAAGCTCAGCTTGGGGTTGGACAATGCAAGTACACTAGGTAGAATGTTACAGAGTGTTTCAAACTGTCTTTCTACACTGCTCTATTATATACTCTCAGGCGATCTATAATGAACAAGAAAGAGAGCAAAGCTCCTTCTAACACTATACCTGAGGACAAGAGAAAATAGAGAGAAACTATTTCTGCTGGTTGGTTGACTAGTTCTAGGGGACAGAGTCTCAAAAATTAAAGACAGCTTTGTCAGGAGTGAAATTAGAAAGCGCTTATCCACACAAAGGTCCGTAGAGAATTGAAACTTTCTTCCTCAAATGATAAGGCTAACACATTTTTCTACAGTTCCACCACCTCAAAATTTGTCACCATACCCTTGGCCTCAGCTCAAACATTGTGTTCAATTAATGAGATTTAGTCAGGATTAATGAAAGTGCTTTTCTGGTTGAGCAACTTCAGCTATGAAGATTGATTTAAGAAGGTATGACTGTTTTCCTTGGAGAAGAAAATGCAGAGAGGATTTTTATAGTGGTATTCAAAACTATGAAGATTTTGGACAGATAGAATCTTCCTACTCCTGAAAGCACTGAGAATGAAAGGGCACAGATTTGAAATAATTGGCAAAGGAAGCAAAAGTGATAGCAGAATGGTTAAGGTCTGGAACGCGCTACCTGCCAGTGTGGTGGAGCTCGGTTCAATCCAGGCGTTCGGAAGGGAATTAGACTATTATTTGAAAAGGAACAATGCACAGGGTTATGAGGAGAAGACAGGACAATTTTGAGAGCTGGTGTAAACATGAAGGGCCAAATGGCCTCCTTCTGCATTGTAACATTGGTGGTTTCTGTGTGGAATCCTGGGGTCAGTGAGTGAAGTGTAAATTAAAGCTCTGCTATTCAAAGGAACCATCACAGCATCTGAACAATGATACATTATCCTTTGAGACTGTTATTTTTTGCATCACTGGTTAACAGTCTTTACAAATCCAGATTTCCACACTGGGCAGCCCAAAGGGCCATGAGACCAGAAT